TTACCTCGCTTTGTTATTTTTCATGAATTTTATGTTATTTTCTCAAAATGCCGTTTTTGTTTCCGTCTGAACCGGGTGATGATGCAGTAGAACCAAATCAATGTGTTGATGAATGTGATGGTAATTGCCGTGCCGATATTTGCGATGACAATGAGAGGGAAATGAACTGCACTGGTTGCACTCATGGTCAAGTGTGCTGTGTGAGAGGTAAATTAACTCAGAAGTAATTTTAATATTTTGAAATATTATTTACAAATTGTGGACATAATACATTCAGTTTCATTAATTATCGTCACAAACAAATACACAGAACAGTAAACAATGGTTTGTTTACAATAATTTAGTCATGCGCTGTGAATCAGTAATGATTCTTACCATAATTTCTCTTTCTTATTTTTCATATATTTTATATTATTTTCTCAAAATCATCATTTTTGTTTCTGTCTAAACTTGGTAATGATGACAGAGGAGAAAAATCAATGTGTTGATGAATGTCATGGTAATTGCCGTGCCAAAAAATGTAATCGGAAGGAGATTGAAGTAAACTGTGTTGGCTGCACTTATGGTCAAGTGTGCTGTGTGAGAGGTAAATTATCACAGTAGTGATTTTAATATTTTGAAGTATTATTTACAAATTGTAGACATAATACATTCAGTTTCATTAATTATTGTCACAAACAAATACACGGAACAGTAAACAATGGTTTGTTTACAATAGTTTATTAATGTACCGTGAAACACAAATGAATCTATCAATACTTAGGTTTGTTATTTGTCATGAATTTTATGTTATTTTCTCAAAATTGTCGTTTTTGTTTCTGTCTAAACTTGATAATGATGACAGAGGAGAAAAATCAATGTGTTGATGAATGTCACGGTAATTGCCGTGCAAAAAAATGTAATCGGAAGGAGATTATAGTAAACTGTGCTGGCTGCACTTATGGTCGAGTGTGCTGTGTGAGAGGTAAGTTATCACAGCAGAGATTTATATATTTTTGAATAATATCTACAAATTGTACGTGCAGTATATTCAGTTTCATTAATTATTGTCATAAACAAATACACAGAACAGTAAACAATGGTTTGTTAAATACTAATGAATTTACCACTCTTCGTGACTTTAATATTATTTTCCCAAAATCCTCGTGTTTGTTTCTGTCTGAACCGGTTAATAATGAAGAGGAGCCAAATCAATGTGTCGCTGAATGTCATGGTATTTGCCGTGCCAAGCGATGCAATAGGAACGAGAATGAGGCGGACTGCACTGGTTGCACTCACGGTCGAGTGTGCTGTGTTGAAGGTAAATTATCTCTGAGTTGAGTATTAAATTAAATATTTTGGAATATTATCTACAAATTGTAGGTAGAGTATATTCAGTTTCATTAATTATTGTCACAAACAATTACACAGAACAGTAAACAACGTTTTGTTTACAATAATTTAGTCATGAGCAGTGATTCTACCATTCTTCGTTAATTTTATATTATTTTCTCAAAATCGTCGTTTTTGTTTCTGTCTGAACTTGGTAATGATGAAAAAGAGATAAATCAATGTGTTGATAAATGTGGTGGTATTTGCCGTGCCAGAAAATGTAATCGGAAGGAGATTAAGGTGGACTGCATTGGTTGCACCCATGGTCGAGTGTGCTGTGTGAAAGGTAAGTTATCACTGAACAGAGTATTGATTTTATTATTTTGAAATATTATCTACAAATCGTAGGCATAGTATAATCAGTGTCATTAATTATTGTCATAGACAAATACAGAGAACAGTGAATAATGATTTGTTTACAATATTCTTCGTGAATTTCATGCTATTTTCACAAAATGGTGCGGCAATGCGCTTTTTTTTTTACTTTTTATTACAATATATATGCTCAATGGGTGATCTGCCGTTCATTGCGAGATCTCGCGTATTGCGTGAAAGGAGAATGGGAATTTCCTGCTGCACTGAAAAATCAGGCATTTTTTTTTTAATTTAACTTTCGTTTTATAACTCAATGCCGATCTTTGAAGTGTGGGATAGTGCATTGAGATACTCTTACTTCATCAAAATATACCATCATCAAATGTATATAGCACATTCCAACGTATGAGGCGCACTTGTACCGATACGTAAAATTGTCAAAATTGTTTTTAAAAAATGTAATAATTGCAAGAAAGCATACTCACTCCTCATACATGTCGTTTTTTCTAGTACTCATATGGCAATACCATTTTCATTGTAAAAAAAAATTGAAAATAGGTGACCTTGAATCGGTGCTACATAATTAGCCATACCAGAAAGTTGAGGCGTACACAGAAAACAAATACTGAATTACATGCATCTCTTTTCTTAGTAGCATAATCATGAATGGGATACTTGCTGAAAACGGATTCACTGTAAGTGTATGCATATTCTAAACAGCACAGCCATGCCAATATGTCCAGAAGTAGCTCCCTTTTATGTCGTACGCGTTACCCCTAAATGGTCAAACATGCGTGTACTTTTCGGAATACAGATTCAAAATTCTTTGTGGCTTTTTGATTCGCCCCTGAAAAAAAAATACACAACAATTTTGTCAGTTTTCTTTCAAGTTCAATATAAGTTTCAAGTTTAGATTATTAACTAATGAAAATATATATCTCCAAAGCGTCCCATTTATGCGCACCTCAATGAAGCGTCAGGGCGTGTGACTTTTACGGAGCATGCACGGAAGCAATCAATGCACAGTTACTATCAAACATTCTTATCATCTAAAATAAAAAAAAACAGTTTTATAAAGGTATATACCGCCCTCTAGATACTTGCAATGCTTACACTTGTCTTCTATTATGCATTCTGTCTCTCATTTATTGATCATGGTGTAAACTTGAAAATATACGCATGCCAAGTAGCATTTAGAAGTCTGGCCCTGGTTGATTAATAAAGTTAACAAAGTATTGAATACCAAAATTGACTTTAGTAACCTGACACAAAATACACTTGAATAATTTTTTTGTATTTCTTACAAATTTTAGATTGATAAATATAGCTAAAGAAAAATTAGGGGAATTTGGCGCAAAATTAACAAAAACATTATAAATTTATTGAGGGTTATTGAATTTGCTTATGAAGATGAAAGAGATGTGGTCAAAATAAGAAATATTTTAATTAGTGTATAGAAAATGCTATTGTATTTTTATTAATAAAAATGGACTATTTTGTGCATTTTTTTTATGAAAGGAGGGAATTCGTGATGAAATGGTTAAAGCGGGGCAGTCGTCACCTGCGCATGCGTCAGATGTAATTGTTTACAAACAAGCGTCTACCCCTGAGCCTTTGCGTTTTTAGCGTGTGTTGTCACATCGTCGCTTGGGACTCAATTCCCGCGCGTGCGCAGGTGACGCTCCTCCCGCTTTAACGTTATGTTCCAGTTTTGTTGCTGTGTAAGATAAACAATAATCGAATTTGCATGATTCATCCATCTTGTGTCCTCACAGAGCTGATGTGGATGACGAGGTTTATTTTCAGCATGTTTAGGCCAAACAAAATTTAGACCTGTTTTCTTATCGGCGCGCACGTCATTTTCTTATTTGAAACAAAGAATAAAAAAATGGTGGAAACATGCCTGCCGTTGGTGGCGCAATATCTTGTTCACGCATGTGCAGATGGACTTGTTCACGTTTCATGAAAAAAAAAGGATAACATATTCTATTCTGTTGTGCACCTTGATATATTCATTAGAATACATTTTTCTCATATCCTTGGGCGGACATCCGGGCATTTTCACCACCTGGCAACCCTCGCGGTGAAAACAAAAGCCAAAAACTCGCAGAAAACGGTACTTTTGGATGGTCGTTGAGACCTCCCTGAACAGTGTAACAAGATTAGCCCTACGTGTGTAACACATATAAATTTGGTTGTTCAGAATTACTTTGTTGAGTTTGTATTGTTTTCTCGAATTTTCACCGGCTCGACCGGCGTTCCACAGCAGCGCGGCGCATAGCCCATAGAAATGCATGATACAGTGGTTCACGTCTTAGCAACGTGGAACGACTGTGACGTAGCTCCGCCCCCGAGGATACTGGAAAACTATACGGATAATTAATCCCTTTAAAGTGACATGGAAAGACAAAACATGTCGACTGCTGATTTAAATTTAAACATAATCTTTTCTTTTTTTCCACAGGCATTGAGTGAATGATATTGGATGTTCCAGAAAAATTCACATATATATATATATATATATATATATATATATATATATATATATATATATATATATATATATAAATAAATAATACATCTTAATTTATGTATTATTTAATGTATCAATTAGAAATAAAGCAGATACATTAAAAATAAAGCACGAAATAAATCGATTTTAAGTGTGAGTGTGTTGATGCGTTTACTGTAGTTACTTCAATCGTAAAATGAGACTGTCGTGGCAATATTTCAAATGTACACGATATATAATATTACACAATAACAAGTATAATATATTAATATACATCTGTCGCCCGTAACGCCATAAGTTACAGCGTGCCACAATTTTGTGGTATTGTACTGGGTTTTCCTTGGGAGGAAAAAGATGCACAATAATAAGGTTATTACGAGGATATCGAAACGTATGCACGCAGACAGTACAGCGGGAGTATCGACCGACGCACATAGTAATATTATATAATGTATTATTGTGTTACAACTAACAGGGTACAGTTGATGTTGGGGATATTTTGATCATACGTCCCGGCAAAGACTATAGTCTCTATAGTCTTTGGTCCCGGTGATTTTCAGGTAAATGTAACAAGCTGACAAAAATTATTTTAGCAAATCCGTTTGTATATAGCTGTGCGCTTCCGCAATAATGATGGGGAATACTTGTCATAATTTACTGCATCGGATGCAGTCAGCAAACATACTGCTTCTGATTGGTCGGACTGTTAGGTGTTAGGTTTGTGGAACCAATCAGGCATGATCTTATTGCTCGATGTCAAGCTCAGTTAAAATGACTTTGATAAGTATTCTCGGGGGCAGACATCCGGACATTTACACCGCCTGGCAACCATCACGGTGAAGACAAAGACCGAAGACTCTTAGAAAACTGTAGTTTGGGGGAGTTGTTAAGACTCCCCTGAACACTGTAACGAAACGACCCCAAAATGTGCAAGACATGCTCAATTTGGTTGCTCAGGATAAATTCAAAGTTGAGTTTGTGCTGTGCTGTTTCCACGACTTTAGCTGTTTTCACCGGCCCTTTGACAGGCGTTCCACAGCAGCTCGCACAGAGCCCATAGAAACATATGGTACAGTGGTGCGCGTCTCAGCAACGTGGAACGTCCCGTTGTTTACCACCTCAAATAGGTGAAACCACAAGACAAATGAGTGTTATTTACATCACCTCATTCTTCCATAAAAGTTTAATATTACTTTTGATCGAAACCAATTTATTTTCTAAAATGTTATGCATATGATATTGTCACTAGTACATACCTGTACTAGTTATTTATTCATGCGAGAAACGACAATACATGAACCTATGCGCGACACCGCATGTACGGATATGGGGGGCGCTCACAAACTTAGGAAACTACTGTAAAGTGCATCGACAGCATCCAATTACTCGACGTGTTAGACAACAGTTCAAGACTTTTAGTTACTACAGCGAATATGTGTGCTGATGAGGTAACAGCCAATCAACGAACAGAAGCGTAATATGTACAGTAGAACATACGCACAGGCAGTCGACAATGCCTCCTTTTTTCATTTTCATCAACTGCCCGCCTTTCAGTTAATTTCACCACTCCTGACAACTAACGCCGCGCAACTTCTGCCCTCTCCCCTGGAAACTATTGATTTTTTCTTCTTCTTCTCTTCTCTTTGTTGGGTAATCACAGCGCCATCTTGTTCCCGTATGTCCTCTTCGCATTTGTTCGTGCCTCCGCTCACTAATCGTAACAACGCCTGCAGAATTTCCTGTGAACGATAACAACCATGAATAGTTAAAAAACTTTTCTATTTTCATATAAATAGCAATAAATATTATTCCCTGTAAAATGTTATTACCAATAGCCCCCCAAACGAAAGATCTTCCCTTGTAAATATTAACACCTTGTGCATTAAAGGGGTGGGGGCAACTTGAAAACAGAGTAAGACATTTCTGGCAAAATGTTATGAAACTAAATGGTAGTATATTAGAGGGCGGTGGTCGTCGCGCAGCACCTGTTTGAATTTCATGTAAACAAACAATGTATTTTACACGAGTTGTGTCTCATGTCGAACAGAACGCGGCGCGAGGCGACGCGACGACCATCGCCGCTGCCCTATAAGAGTCCCGTACACGAACGAGTCCTGCGTTTTAAGTGCTCTGTCGGCTAAAGTTGACTGACATCCCAACCCGCAGTGACTTTGTTCAAAGATGGAAAATGAAAAAAAATTGTCCCTGTCGGTTTATTCGTGGTCTACCCTAAACTAAAGCTCAGTATTAAGTGACATTGCTGCATGAAAACTTTCTTGATTCTCTTTTTTTTTCTGAAAATTCGACCAAATCGCTGAAAATGTACGCCCTATATAAGTACGATCTTACACAGTTTGCCAATCACGAGAACGGCGGCATATGAACGAGACGTTATTGCGCATGTCCAGCTAACTGACCAATAAACAGACTATTTTCCCCATCCCCGACTGCTTATGGTGTTTCTCAGTAGGTAGGGAGGGAGGGAGTCGTCGCTTGCGCATGCGCAATAACAAATCACTTCGAACAGGGCTCAAAACACTTTTCATCGTCTATCGATCGTTTGAAGTCATTATCGTTTGCACAAAATCTATTCGAAATTTATGCGCATTTTCAACCACATTTTTGACCTTAACTGCAACTCCACCCCTAGATACCCGCCAGCATTCCTCAATTTAATTGTATATGTCCCCCCGAGGACGCCTATAGTTGTATTGACGTACACAATTGACTTAGGTGCTAGGGTTAGAGCTACGGTGAGGGGTGGGGGACAACAGGAACTCATACCCAAACAAAACCGAAATTGCGAATCAAAAATAGTTATGAAAGTAATTTTCCATTGATGAGTAATTGATGTGGACTAGAGGTTTTTTTTCAAATTCGTGTTCTAAAATTCTCAAGGGTCCATTATTATGTAAATAAGCTTATTTTTGTTTTTATGAAACAAAACTTACCAGGATATGACAAATACAGCGAAAAAAAATGTTTGCACAAATATCATTCAAATTGTGAACTTTTCCATTTCTTTCTCTAGTCTGTAAAAATATCCGGGAATTTTTTAGAATACGTCACAGATATCGTGACAAAATATGACCAGCTCACCGATCTTATAGTATCTGCAGATAAAACATATTCAAATAGACTATTTACAGGTTTTTGTTTGATGTGATATTTTGTCTGAGTACGTCAACACGTCTTGTAGAAATCCACCGCAGTGCCCATCCTCGTTCGCAGGGGCTATAATCACTACACTTTTTTTTCTGGACGTTGAGTGTCACTGTTGTCTCTCCTGACTTTTTTTGTATGTGCAATTGCAAGTGATAGTGCTGACACATAATGCATTTTGCCACAGAAGTCATATTCATGTTTGGGACTACATGAACAGGGGTGTGTGGCCATCTCTCTGTCAAATGGCATTTTCAATGCGCTATTTTGGCGTCAACCAGACTTGGTCACAAGCATCTGCGGACCTTTACCAATGTTACCCCAAATTCACATTCGTTAGTGAATGAATTACGGCCAGTGGAATTGGCCTTCCCATTGAGTCTGTGGCACACTCACCCAGGGTAGGGGACATTACACTCAGTTGTTGAAGAAAAACGTTCGCTTTGTTTTTAATATTTCATATTGTTAAACGTGTACAATAACCTGAATGGTGTGAATTGATTACGTAATAATCAAATGTAATCAGTGTAAATTACAAATCGAAACTCGTGCCAAATGTATACAATTCATTCAACAATCATCGTGCCCCGCGCGACATGTACATCAATAACAACTTTTTCACCAACAGACTTTGTCGACAAAATTTTCCCGCACTTTTTTCTATATTCTTTAATATTTCTGGAAATTAACCAAAATATTGGAGTGAACAGACAAAATTTAAGTGAATTTTCAGTTTTTACGAAAAAAATGGCTATTTTTTTAAGGAAAGTGCAGACTATAAACGGGCAACTGGTGGTGAAAAGGAGAATACGCATTGTTTATTCTGGCACATAGATTATTAACAACGTAGAGTAACATTATTAGTTTATGATAAATTATAGTCCAATTTGATCAACAAAATAAACATTTGAACAGAATAATAAAAAAGATACGTTTTCGTCCGTACCTCATGTCTAATGTCATGACAGGATCATTGATC